ATAGGGGAGGGATAGCATTAGGAGAAATACCTAATGTAGATGACAGTGTGATGGATGCAGCAAACCACCATGGCGCATGTATACCTATGTATCAAACCTGCACGTTCTGTATATGTATCCCAGAACTTAAAGTATAATTTAAAGAAAAGAAATTCTTGGGTGTGGGAATTAATGCATCTACTCTTAACTTTTACATTTGGTCATTGGTTTGTAACATAAACCCTACTGTTCATCAGCAGGTATCTTTATATTGACAAAAAAGTTCTGGAAAGGTGTAGTAATTTTTTTTTTTTTTACTTTTAAATTCAGGGGTACATGTGCAGGATGTGCATGTTTATTACACAGGTAAACGTGTGTCATGGGGGCTTGTGATACAGATTACTTTGTCACCCAGTTATCAAGTCTATTATCTACTAATTATTTTTCCTGATCGTCTCCCTCCTCCCTCCACCTTCCAGCAGGCCCCAGTGTGTGTGGTCCCCCTCTACGTGTCCGTGTATTCTCATCATTTAGCTCCCACTTATAAGTAAACATGGTATTTGGTTTAGTGAAAATTTTGAAGTGCAAATGATTCTTATCACCTCACAGTAGCATAGGTGTCCTGAAGGTACAGTGAACTTGGCAAATGAAAGACATGCTGGCTTATTTTTGCTTGGGCAGGTAGCGACACATTTGTTTTAATCAGTCTTGTGTATATTATATGAAACCATAATCAAATGATATCAAGACTGCAATCAAATAAGATCATGTGAGATGGATCGTCCATTTGCGTGAGAGAGAGATGGTTTGTAAATAGTGTGTCTCAAAAAGAGAAACACTAATGAGAAGAATAAGCATTAAGCTCATGACTCATTAGGGATTATGACCAGGTATATTGTGTGTCTGTGTGTGTGTGTGTGTGTGTGTAGCTATTATTACATCCAATTCAACTTTGTTGCACTTTCAGTTTAAATAGTGAAGGATTTCATGAGATCACATACCTGCTGTGGAGAAATATATATTTTCCAGAGATGTGTGTTAGTATGCTGAGACTGCCATAACAAAATACTACTGAGTGGCTTAAACAACAGACATTTATTTCTCTCAGTTCTAGAAACTGGGAAGTTCAAGATCAAGGTGATGGCTGATTGAGTTTCTCATGATGACTCTCTTTTCAGTTTGCAGATAGGCACCTTCTTCCTGAGTAGTAAATGGCAGATAGTAAATGAGAAACAGAAATCTCCCGAAGTATCTCTCTCTTCCTCTTCTTAGAAGGCCACAGTCTTACTCATTAGGTCCCCACCCTTAAGACCTCTTTCAACCTTAATTATCTCCTAAAGGCTCTGTCTCCAGATACAATCACCTTGGTGATTAGGGCTTCAACATGAATTTGGAGGGGAACACAAATTAGTCCACAGTGGTTTGGCTACAAATTTTCATTTCTTGGTTACTTTACCAATTTTTCTTTTTTGAAACAAGGTCTTACTCTGTTGCTCAGGCTGGAGTACACTGGCATAAACGTGACTCACTGTAGCCTTGGCTTTCTGTGCTTAAGCGATCTTCCTGCCTTGGCCTCTATGTAGCCACACTTAGCTAATTTTTAAATTTATTCGTAGAGATGGAATATCTCCATGTTGCCTGGGCTGGTCTCAGCCTCTGAAGCTCAAGTGATCTTTTCTCCTTGGCCTCCCAGAGTACTGGGATTGTAGGTGTGAGCCACCATGCCCAGCGTTACTTTAACGCATATTACCTATAGGTTCAAAGTGTTATGTTGATGGATACATTCATTGCAATCTTCCTATCTCAAGGTCAAAAACTTAATTACCTTTGTAAAGTACCCTTTCCCATGTAAGGTAACATAATTACAGGTTCTGTGGGTTAGGGTGTGGACGGACATTAAGGGTTGCATTTATTCTGCCTAACATAAGCCAAGGATAGAACAAATCTAGAATTCATTCATTTAGTAATTATGTTAGGGAATAAATAAGTGCCAGGCAATATACTATATGTGTGTATTTTTAAATGGTTAAGAATGAGATTCTGGCTGACTGAAAGAGCCACTAGGCTTTATCTGTGAGGATCAGTAAAAGTTCTAAGTTTAAAATGAATTTTCTCTTCAGTATTTGATATTAGATTGACAAGTCCTTCCTAGAACTGTGAGAGAGGAAACTAGAAGTAAGTTAATCTACTACATAAAATTTTAAGTAGGGAAGAAGAAAATCTTGGAACCACAAAGTACCTTGTCCATTTTACGTAGAAGGATAAACTGAATGATACAGTGTGGAGGAGAAACTGGAAATAATATTGTCTTCTTAAGAGACTTTCTAGAACTAATAGAAAGCGGTTCCAAATAGAGGGGCCAGATAACATGTAAAAGAATTAAATATTTAATACCTGCTTATTAATGCATAAAGGGAATAAATAACACTTTCTAAACATTTCAGCACAGCCACAGAGACCACAAAAGTATAAACATAGTTGATCATCACAATCTCTGATAGTTATTTCAGCTTACATCTGAATCCCACTAATAAGTTATTAGGACCCAAAACTTCAGAATGAGTAGCAACTGGCTTTCTGATTTTGAAAAGAGAGGGGCAGAATAAAATTAAAATGAAGGTTGGGATATAACAGATTTAACTTAAAAGCAAGGGCCATCAAAATTGAGTCAGGTGCTTCTGTACCAAAATCGCATGTATTTTGCAATCCTGTAGTTTCAAGTGGGATCTTATTGTAGTAGTTCATAGTTACATAAATTATAAAGTATATTTAGCCAATACCTTTACTTGCAAAAACATCTAACTTTCATTTTAATATGGCATTCTGACCAAATTTGTTTGTTTCCTTCAAAAGGCCATCCTTTAACTTGATAATAAAGAGATTGATTAAAATACGTATAAATCCACAATCATGAAGAGAATAGGAAGGAAGCCATTATCAGCAGAAAATGTCAACAGCTATCTGTTAGAAAGAAAATAATTGAGCTTTAAACTGGGGTGGAGAAAGTTATTGCTGAAATTCTGCAGTAAGGAGTTACAACTAGAGAGTCAATATACCCTGGAGGACCCAGAAGAAACCGACTTCTCAAAAACACCAGGAGGGCCAGAGGAGACAGAGAGGAAGAAGATACTGAGAATGACTATATTCAAATCAGGGACATTCCCTCTACCCCTCTGACCCTCCACTCCCACTTCCATCCAAATCTGCGATATCCAGGAGTCAAGGCTTTAACCTGCCAGGCAATGCAATATCATCAACGAACACATTTTTTTTTTTTTTTTTTTTAAAGTAACAAAGTTCTTCTTTAGAGGAATAGAAAAAAAAGTCTGTCTTGGAGGTGTATAGGCTGTGTCTTGGGAACTAGAGAATAGAATAGCGAGTAGAGTTACAATAGCTAGTATAGATTCAAGAGCAAAATATATAAATTTTATTAAGTAGGAATCTCCCAGCAAAATAGCCGTATATTACCATTTTGTCACTTGCCTCATGTTTAAACATGAATCTACAGTCAAAGGTGTAATACACATTATAGGAAAATTCAGTCTCAGTTTAGATGTGAGCCGTTGATAGGGGAGGTAATTTCTAGAAATGCCAGTGTGAAAGTGGAGAAGTAAGACTGAGGAAGGAGACCCTAATCCTCTTTATCTTCTAAGAGTCTTTCCCCCTAGACTTCTACATTGCATTTCAATAGAAGTAAAGGCTGGCAGACCCTGGCGCCACCCTTAATCACATTCCTATAGATTGCAGGCAAGGTATGGAGGAATCTTTTGGGAAGGCATAGCTTTTCCTTAAACACGATGAAACCCCCACCTAAGTGGTGTTCCCCATGCCTATTTCAAGGATGAAGACCTTTTCACATGTAATTTCTAGAATTGGAAGGCTTTAAAAGGGCAAGGATTTTCTTTGTCGAGGAGCTCAGCTGTTAGGCAACTATGCCGCTGCTGCCGCCGCTGCTGCTGCTGCTGCTCCTGGCCAAATAAATCACCCCTTCCTTCCCAGTTTGGTGTCCGAGGGGTTTGTTTCCTGGCCTTTCCTGCTTCAAGACTAGGAGGGGAAAGAGGCTCAAGCCTGTGTGCATCTGAAGCAGAATCCCATTGGGAACTCTGGCAATTCAGTGAGAAATCCCTCCTCAGAGTGATTCCAGAGAGGGGTAAGCATCCTGTGGTCTTCTCTGCCCAGAAAATGGAAGAGAAAGACGAGGTAAGGCAAGGCAAGTCAGGAAGGAGGAAGGGAGAAAAGAAAGGAAGAAGGAAGAGAGAAGGAAAACGAAAAGAGAGAAAAAATCATTGAGAAATGGAACTCTTTCAGGGAATGGCTCAGAACTTCCACAGTAAAACTCAGATTAAATTCTCCAGTAGATTTGCAAAACAAAAACAGAAACAACAACAACAACAACAAAATTCCCTCAAAACCTTCATTAGAAAAGAACAGGATATTACATACAAACTAAACACAAAAAACTTGAAGGGACGCTTGGAATTTAAAGTAATACTTTTACAAATCTATGGATGCCTTAGAAGAAAAGTTAAGAATTTTTATGAAAAAAGGAAAATATGGGGAGAAGGAAATGGGAAACTCTAGGATAAAACAAACACACACTGGTTATATAGGACGGGAAATGTAATTGTAGTTAACTACTTGGTTGTTAGTGAAAAATATCAATAATCTGTTTATAGTTGCATTATCCTATGAACAAAGCTTGGCAGGAAACTGTAAATGTTATTAACCTTGACAATGAAAAGTAGAAATGGCAGTTTGGGAGTAGACAGGGAAAAGTGGAATGAAAAGGGGAGAGACAGTGGCATCTTCATCTTACCAAATGGGGAATCCAGAATTTCTGTAATTCTGTAATTAGAAATAGGGCCAGGTGTGGTGGCTTGTGCCCATTATCTCAGCACTTTGGGAGGCTGAGGTGGGTAGATTACGAGGTCAGGAGGTCAAGACCAGCCTGGCCAACATAGTGAAATCCTGTCTCTACTAAAAATACAAAAATTAGCCACGTGGGGTAACATGAGCCTGTAGACCCAGCTACTTGGGAGGCTGAGGCAGGAGAATTGCTTGAACCCAGGAGGTGGAGGTTGCAGTGAACTGAGACCACATCATTGTACTCCATCTTGGGGACAGAGTGTGACACGGTCTAAAAAAAAAAAAAAAAAAAAAAAGAAATCTAAGTATATTATTTAAAAGTACATAAAAGTAGCGAAAACTTAAGCCCTAACATTAATGGGCTTTTTAAACAATGTGAATATAGTATCTAATAAGATTTTGCTTCAATTACGTTAAAGAAAAATGTGGTGAGTAGCTGCAAATTCCTTGAAATCCATTCACCAGAAGAGAAACAGGCTGTGTGCCATCTAGTTGAAAACAGAGCCTACTTTAAGTTCATGACGGTCTCCAAGGCTGTTCAATAGAAATATGTGTTGCCTATCAAACTCACTATTATAGATAATTTATACTTTAAGGGCAAATGTTTGTGATAGCATCACAAGACGAATTAAGAGATAATTATTTTAAGGTGCGAGCATGATACATTGGCATAAACTCTGGACTTTGGTTCAAGATTAGAAATCAGAGGTACAAAGCCAAAATCCTGGTTCCATCACTGACTTGGCAGGAGACCTTGGGCAATGCCATCAGTTTTGCTCTAGCAATTTTCTCTATATCTCTAGTCAGGAGACCATTATTCCTGTTGACAAATATGAGGGTCAAATATAGTAATATGTGTGAAAATGATGATTATAATCCTTGATTTCTTTGATTATTCTATACATGCAATTACTTTGTCTAAGTCATTCATTAGTGGATTTCTGAATTGTTTAATACATACAAAGGACTCCAGATAAAGTTCAGTTAGAAATTAAACTATCTGACTATATTGGATAGATAATATCATTTTTCTTCTTAAACTTATTAGAGAAGTCCTTAACAATGTTAAAATAGCTATGGTTTGAACAGTGAATCATTAATGTCTTTAGATACACAGATTAGATATTCTGAATATTTTCAGTTACATTTCACTGTGGCAGAAGTCCACATATTTGAAAAATATAAAAATATGCTTATGTGCTAGTATTTGTCACTTCAGAGAAACATGTTGATCTTTACCTTGTTTTACAAAATCACTTTTTCTTTTGAGATGGAGTTTCGCTCTGTCACCTAGGCTGGAGTGCAGTGGTGTGATCTTGGCTCACTGCAACCTCTGCCTTCCAGTTTCAAGTGATTCTCCTGCCTCACCCTATTGAGTAGTGGGGATTACAAGTGTGCACCACCATGACTGGCTGATTTTTGTATTTTTAGTAGAGACGGCGTTTCACCATGTTGGCCAGACTGGTCTCAAACTTCTGACCTCATGATCCACCTGTTTCAGCCTCCGAAAGTGCTGGGATTACAGGTGTGAGCCACCGTACCTGAGCTCAATTTTATATTTTTAAATAAATAAATAGCTAATTTTCTCCATTGAACATTAATAAAAATTAGAAAAGAAAATTTCCAGTAATTTTAATCACCCAGACATAACCTCTGTTAATATTTTAATGTATTTCTACTCTTCTTTCTATATACGTAGGCACAGACTTTTTAAAATTTGGAAAATTTATATTCCATTATTCACAAAACATTGTATCACAAGCCTTTATTTCATCAACATATTCTTTAGAAATATTTTTATTAGCTCCATAATAGTCAACCAAATGAATGATCAACACATATTTTAAACTTGACTCTTAACATTTATGTTATTTCTCACTCTTGATATTACAAATTTATTATAACATTTTCCATGATAAATAATCTACTATATAAAGCCTTCCCTTCATTTTTGAACACTGCTTTAGAAAAAAAATTCCTAGAAGTAAAATTATTGAGTCAAAGCATGTGATAATTTCTAAAGGTTTTGATGTGTATAGATAAATTGCTCTGCAGAAAGATACAGTTTGTAGTCCCAAACAGAAACCATAGTATCTTCAAACATTGGGTATTAAAATTTTAATAAATTCCAAATAATAATCTAGGAATTAAGGGTATAGGAGACATATAAATCTCATTTTGATTTGTATTTCTTTGAGCTGTTTTGTGTTTATTAGCCATTAATATTGTTCATATGTGATTCTGTATGTTGATGTCTCTTTCTCACCTTCATTGGTATTTTTGTATTATAGATCTATAAAAGCTTTTCACATGCTGGAAATATAAATCCTTCATCTATATACTTGTTTGATTTCTACATTTTTACCCAAATAAAGGTCAGTATATATCTTTAAAGTGGAAGGATAAATTTTAAATATGTCTATAGGAAACAGCCTTTTCAAAGACTAAAGATAGAAACATGACATAATATCTTTCAAATTCTTCATTAAACTCTCCTTCCTGAGAAGTTGTTATTGTTGTTAAAATTAATCATATGTATAATATTTTCATACATATTATTAAGCAATAAAGCCAGATTACTGGATATGGAAACAAGATAATCATCTTCCCAGCACTCCTTACTACCCCTTTAGCCGCTCTGCCCACCTTCCCCACCATTTCTAAGAAATTTGGAGATTTAAAAAATTCTCCAAAAACTAAAGAACTAGTTTGGAGCTTGGATCATGTTAAACACTCTTACTAGAAAATGGATCTGTAGGAACATTTTTTCATACTTTTATCTGTCCCTCTCTTCCCACCATTCTTAGGTTTTGCTTTTTTTCTTTTAATGATTGGGAATGACACTTAATTGAATACAGGGCCAGAACATAATCTACAATAAAGGATAATTTTATAAGACAGTTAAAATTTTCTCAGTCACTTTTTCTACGGTAACTCACAATGCCAATTAATTTCTTAATTCATTAACAATGTAACAGAAGAAAAGACTTTGAAAACACTGTGCTTTGTGCAGATGTCTTTTAATTACGGCTAATTAAATACTATGCAAGAACCTGATTATACCTTTGAGTATTTCTTAATCAGAAAAAACAAGAAAAGGAACAAAACAAGGCTTGTAGTCATGAACTCATGGAACAAAAGCTGATTTCAGCAACTCTTGATTAAAAAACCCAAAACTGCAAAAAAGAGAACAAATTACAGAGTAGCACAGGGGAGTATTCTTTAAATCTGTATGCTGATTCTCCATGGAGGTTTATGTACTACTGTTTGTTTTGGTTATTAGGCAGAAGCTCAAGTAAACCCAAGTAGAAATCACACTGCTTCAAAAAATGAAGAGCAGAGCCAGTGGGTAAACAGTTTCAGAGCGAACTGATGCAATACTCCCAAAGTTAGGAATGCATTTTTCCAGATGGCCACTGTGCATATGGCTGGGGCTACTTCGGTAGCCAAAATAGGAAATGAGAACACAGTTCTTTCCAATTAAATCAGCACTGTCCTTGAGAAAAGAAATTTCACAGAACATGTCCGTGGGGATGGAGGTGGACAGGAAATAGCATTCCTGTCTATCAGGACATCTTCAATTTAACTAATCATGATATCTTGCTTTAAATGTTCAGGCCAGTCAAATTTATTTTGGGATTTTAGGCGAACAAGGCAGTGAGCTAAACCATGTGCTGGAAATTCACAGCTCAAAATTGGTGTTGTCTGTCCATCCTCTTTCATCCTGGAACATTGGGTGAGTTACTTAATCTCTCTGTGATTGTTTCATCCTGTGTAAAATGGGAATCACATCTCCAGGCTGCCCAACAGCCTTGTTGTGAAGATAAAATTATGAATGTTATGAAGTACTTTACAATCATGAAGCACTGGATTGTGCTTTCCAGGACTTGGAGAGAATAACCAACAATGCCAGTTCATGCTGCAGACCACGTGTTGGTCTCTTCTACGGAAGACGTCCCTATTTATACTGGGGTATGATTTCCAGTTTTGTTCAGGCCCTGCCCCCTAACATATCCTTTGGTGGTTTTTCAATTCATCTTAATTAAAGAATAATTTGCTTGTATAACAAGCTTGGCTGGAAGCTGATTTTTGCTGGGTAAATTTGCTGAACTTCTCAATAAATTTTGGCTCCCCAAAATGGCAGACACGTGCTGTAGAAAGAAACTGTTTTGCCCTCTATACTAGTGAGCAGTCAGATGGAGACTCTAAACACTTATACATGGACAGCAGCCCATCCGTGTCAGCCCTTTGATTCATCTTAACAAGTGCATGGGCTACAGGAAGCTAGTTTCAACATCAATCATTCCAACCAAACTATCTTGCATTTTCTGTTTACCCGGTACATTCTGATTTCACCCTTCTCTTAAGGAAATGAAAGCAGCTAAAGCTATTCAAAATGATGAGTAAAGAACCTTTCTTTTTATTTTAAAATCTGTATTCTTTTAATTTTTGTTTAATACTTTAGCTGTCTACCCAACTGGCCCTATTTGTGCCCCAAACCAGTGACAATTTATATAATATACTAGACTCTCAGCTGTTTTCAAGGCTAGCCTGATACCGCTTGTTTTAGCCTTTGTAAAAATGTAAGTGGTCTTCCTGTAGTCAGCAAATTGTGCTCCTTCCCTGCAGAATAATCTATCCACAGATGGAAGAATTTTAAGGGAATATCAGGAAGCTGCTGCTGATAGAGCCAACAGTTTAATGCTAGCTGTATGATGTGATGAGACGAATCAATGAGGACAGAAGTGATATAACAAAAAGCAACATACTTGTATCTTATTTGTCCCATCTCTCAACTATGCCACAGGGAAGCAGAAACTTTGATCATTTCTGGTTTTTTTCCCCTTATTTCTGGTTTTACTTTTTTAGCTTTCCTCTAATTGTGTATGTAGTGGAATTACCTAAATTTCTCAGTAAAAATGCAGATTACTGAGATATATTCTAGCCCTACTTAACAGAATCACTGCTATTATAGCTGAGAGTTTAGATTATAAAAAAGTACCCCAGGAAATTTTAATGCTTTCTAAATTTTGAGAACAGTTAGCCTAATAAATCTTTGGCCACATTATGACATTCATGAGCTCTAAGCCCTTTTCTCTCTGTGTCTCTTCCTCAATAAAAAATACTAAAAATTATATTTTACTATGGCCTTGGTATCAAGATGAATATATTAATATTACATATTAAAACATTTTCTTCAACCTAAGTTTACATGTTTCTCTGGTTAAAATAAATTAAAGCATTTTCATGGGCCTCTGAAAGTATTTTGGGCCTTGGGCACATAGCCTCCTGTCTCCTGAGTAAGTCAGCTCAAAATGAATCAAGGTCCTGTCAACTTAGAAAACTGGTAATCTTAATATTTTGAAGATTTGGATGCTAAATGTTTTATTTCCCTAACATATGAAGAGATCCAGGTCAGAACTCTTGCTGGAGTTCCAGGGATGCAGCTTTGCATGAAGATAATTTGCAGGTTGTTCTTGGGTTTGGCGCTATTTGCCTAGATGTGAAGGTACCCCGTTTTGAACTGCCTTCTCAATACTCACAAAGGCAAAAATGGGAAAGATATTAGGTCTCAGCTTTGTTAAGCATTCCCATCTTGTTTAGGTGATACGTGCTAATAAATGCACACAACAACTACATACAAATAGAAGCTTATGAAATATGAGGTTATGGTAATATCAAATATTAGGGCCTGGTGTTGGCTATCTGGGGAAGCTTTTTCTGGAAGCAGAAAAATGGAAGGAATATGGAAAGGAAAGAAGAAAAACAGTCTATTTAAGGAATTTAATTATATGAAGCAGGAATGACTTTCACAAGAATTTCTAAGAATAAGCAACCAAGGAAAAATGACCTGGTGTTACACAAAATAGAGGAGCAACTGATAGAATGGCATAAAAATAACAATTTTACATCATTAGGAAAGAAGACTGCATATCATTTCAGAGTTTCGATAAGGCAACTAGCAGCAAACTATGCTCAATTATGGTTGTCACGTTTTTTTTTGTTTTTTGAGATGGAGTCTTGCTCTGTCACCCAGGCTGGAGTACAATGGTGCTATCTCGGCTCACTGCAATCTCTGCCTCCCCCGCTCAAGTGATTCTTCTGCCTTAGCCTCCTGAGTATTGGGGCTACAGGTGTGTGCCACCAAGCCCAGCTAATTTTTGTATTTTTAGTAGAGACAGGGCTTCATCATATTGGCGAGGCTGCTCTTGAGCTCCTGACTTTGTGATCCACCCACTTCGGCCACCCAAAGTGCTGGCACTGTGGTCAGCCAATAGTTATCACTTTTATGCTTTATATTTATACTTACTGTTATAGTCTGCACTAACAAAGTGCCTTACATAATAATAGCTGATATTTATTGAGAACGTGCCAATATTTCAAGTTCAGTGGTAATACTCATTGAAGCTGAGACTAGATAAGGAGGAAAAATAATGAAAAATATTGAATAAGGAAAAGCAGCAGTGTTTAATTGTTTTGGTTATTGATCTGTGACAAACTATCCCATTTCCATGACAAACATGGAAATCTAAAACAGTGACATTTATTTAATCATAATCATGCCATCTGGGATGACTTTGCTGGGGCGTCCCACTCATCTTACTGGTGGCCACTCATGTGGCTGCAGCCAGCAGGTGAGTCAGTGGGGAGCTGGGCTTAGCTGCAACCTTGGACAGCTGTACTTCTCTTTCTTTCTCTGTAATCTCAGGGCTGGTCCCTCTGTGAATAAGCTTTCCTTGGGGCCTCTCCAGCAGGGTAGCTGGACTCTTACATAGTGGCTCAGAGATCCTAAGAGAGCATGTGTAGCAGCAAGTAGCCTTTTAAAGCCTAGGCCTAGGACTGGTACATTCTGTTTTGTTTGTTTGTTTTTGAGATGAAGTCTTGCTCTGTTGCCCAGGCTGGAGTGCAGTGGCATAATCTCAGCTCACTGCAACCTCTGCCTTCCAGGTTCAAGTGATTCTCCTGTCTCAGCCTCCTGAGTAGCTGGGATTACTACTGCTCATGGGACCACCATCACTGAGCCTTGCTAATTTTTGTATTTTTAGTAGAGATGAAGTTTCACCATGTTGGCCAGGCTGGTCTTGAACTAATGACCTCAGGCAGTCTGCCTGCCTTGGCCTCCCAAAGTGCTGGGATTGCAGGTGTGAGCTACCATGTCCCGCCTATTCTTGTGATTAAAGCAGATTTAAGATGGGAACGGAGAGGTACACACAGGGCATGGATTTGGGGAGGCGTGATTCCCCGTGGCAGCTAGTGTCACAGACATCACCAGACTTGGAGAGAACACTTCCTTCCTACATCTCAGGTTTCTTACCAGGTGGTGGTGACAGTTAGTGCCATGCTTTTGAGGGGGCAGGTGGAGTGGCTTATCTGACGTTTAAATTTGTGAAAAAATAACATGTTTGCCGCTTGGAAGCATACTTGTTCTGTAGAAAAAGTCTAGCATCGCCAGTAGGGCAGTCTGCATGATGTCAGGGTTTAGTATTGGCTGCTGGCTAATAAACCTGAAGCTACAGCCTCTACCTTGGTCTCTATAAGTAACTAAAATGATGCTTTGCTTCTGTCTGCTACTGTGTTATTTCATCTCTCAATTCAAGGAAGACAGATGCTGTTTATAGGCCTCCTTAGAGATTACAGCCTGAGGAGATTAGAAATTTTGACCAATGTGTCACAGTTTCATCAACAGTGAGTGATGAAGACACTGGGAAAGGTCTTATATAACCTAGTGAGGACCAGTAGTTAACAGAGCAATAGACCTTCAAAATCATTTGTTTAGAGAATGGAGGTTGGTCATTTATTTGCACCTCTTAATAATTGAACCTGGGCTTAGTCGTCTACCTGATGTTGATTCTTTCCTTCATCTTTATTAATAGAATTCTGATCTTGTAAAGGACAGCATTGTATACAGTTAAAAAGACATTTTATAGCCTTTGTTGCAGATGAAGGGGCCACATGACTAAGGAGAGGCAAGTACAAGTTGTTAGATGAGACTTGTGGAAAGGTCTTCAGAAGCTGGCAGCAGGGGTAGGGAGCTGGAGAACAGATTCAGATGGGAAGGACCTATTTGCCTTTTGTCCTACAAAAGGGGATACAGATGAAATGGTTAGAGTTGCAGTGGCCGTATAGTGACCATGAAGTCATCTTGAAGATGAAATCCATGCACCAAGGATGGCAATGCAAGAAAGGAGGAGGCCAGACCTTGATGATACCATAGAGCCCTTGTACCAGCTTCTGATATTTGCTCCTTGACTTTAACTAAATGAAGGAAAGAAAATACGCTATTTTACTGAAGCTCCTAT